CCCAGATGCTTCCCTATCTGTCCTATGAAGGATTCTCATTTATTCAGGCTGTTGGGTTAATCACTTCTCTTCCTTTTTATTTCTATCCTGAACCTTGGAATTAAGGGCGAAATGGTGCTCTTTTTCCATTGCAATTGAGCTGTTTCGGTTTTAATATAAGAGCTCTAGAATTTTTTTCTCTGCAACCATCTCATTTTGGCAAGAGAAAAATGAATAGCAAATAGAACATAGTTTGGGTAGGACGAAAACAACAAATTTCAAAATTGATTTAGTTCCCCCGGGTTTTTCCTGTAATTGACCCCCCCCCCCCACTCCTCCCATAAATTTTGGGTTTCTCCTAATGCCTCCTTGGATGTTTCCCGTGATTCTTGCTGAACTCAACACTGACTCTGGGAAAGGTTTGACTATAGAAAGATAATTCTAAAGTAACCGGAGGCTGTAGATGCTTTCAAAGCTATTATGGCTCATGAATATAGAAATTATCATTTCTATACCATGCCATTGTAAGGATGCAAACATGCAATTCCTACAGTTTGATCTTTCCTCCAACCTTGCTATCATTTTCATTTCTCTTTTCCTTTGAAGGTGATCATGGCTATGAGACTAAAGATCCCAATGAAAAATCCAGACTGATCAGGCATGGAGACGGAATGGACAAGGAACTGGAGATGCAACTAGAAAGGCATGAGAGAAGCCAGTCAAAGATTTGGAATCAGGAAAACCCATCTTCCATGGATGCTGAGACGCAAGGTTTTCTTGCCCAACAAGGAAAAATAAAGGAAATATATATGGGAAAAAGTATAAGAGTATTAAAAGACAAATTAGTTGTAAATGAACGCTCTCCAACCCAAACCAAAGGAGAAGGTTATATCTGCAGAGACAATGGAAAAAATCACAATTGGACTTTCACTCTTTCCTGTGAAAATAGATCCCTTACATCTCATAAAAGGATCCAGACAGGAGAGAAGCCATATAAATGCATGGAGTGTGGAAAGAGCTTTTGTAATAGGAAGAAACTTACTTCCCATAAAAGGATCCACACAGGGGAGAAGCCATATAAATGCACGGAGTGTGGAAAGAGCTTTATTAGTAGCAGTCAACTTATCTCTCATAAAAGGATCCACACAGGGGAGAAACCATATAAGTGCATGGAGTGTGGAAAGAGCTTTACTACTAGCAGTCATCTTACTTCCCATAAAAGGATCCACACAGGGGAGAAGCCATATAAATGCACGGAGTGTGGAAAGAGCTTTATTAGTAGCAGTCAACTTATCTCTCATAAAAGGATCCACACAGGGGAGAAACCATATAAGTGCATGGAGTGTGGAAAGAGCTTTACTACTAGCAGTCATCTTACTTCCCATAAAAGGATCCACACAGGGGAGAAGCCATATAAATGCACGGAGTGTGGAAAGAGCTTTATTAGTAGCAGTCAACTTATCTCTCATAAAAGGATCCACACAGGGGAGAAACCATATAAGTGCATGGAGTGTGGAAAGAGCTTTACTACTAGCAGTCATCTTACTTCCCATAAAAGGATCCACACAGGGGAGAAGCCATATAAGTGCACCGAGTGTGAAAAGAGCTTCTGTGAAAATACATCCCTTATGAGACATAAAATGATCCACACAGGGGAGAAACCACATGAATGCATGGAGTGTGGAAACAGCTTCAGAATAAGCAGTCAACTTATTGTCCATAAAAGGATTCACACAGGGGAGAAGCCATATAAATGCATGGAGTGTGGAAAGAGCTTTCGTACTAGGAGCAAATTTACTTTCCATAAAAGGATCCACACAGGCGAGAAACCATATAAATGCATGGAGTGTGGAAAGAGCTTTCGTACTAGGAGCAAATTTACTTTCCATAAAAGGATCCACACAGGCGAGAAACCATATAAATGCATGGAGTGTGGAAAGAGCTTTCGTACTAGGAGCAAATTTACTTTCCATAAAAGGATCCACACAGGCGAGAAACCATATAAATGCATGGAGTGTGGAAAGAGCTTTCGTACTAGGGGTGAACTTACTTCCCATAGAAGGATTCACACAGGGGAGAAACCATATAAGTGCATGGAGTGTGGAAAGACTTTTCGTCGAAACAGTAATCTTAGTTCCCATCATAAAAGAATCCACACAAGGGAGAAACCATATAAATGCACAGAGTGTGGAAGGAGCTTTTCTACTAGCAGTGATCTTACTTGCCATAAAAGGATCCACACAGGGGAGAAACCATATAAATGCATGGAGTGTGGAAAGAGCTTTACTGCTAGCGGTCATCTTACTTCCCATAAAAGGATCCACACAGGCGAGAAACCATATAAATGCATGGAGTGTGGAAAGAGCTTTACTACTAGCAGTCATCTTACTTCCCATAAAAGGATCCACACAGGCGAGAAACCATATAAATGCATGGAGAGTGGAAAGAGCTTTACTGCTAGCGGCCATCTTACTTCCCATAAAAGGATCCACACAGGCGAGAAACCATATAAATGCATGGAGTGTGGAAAGAGCTTTACTACTAGCAGTCATCTTACTTCCCATAAAAGGATCCACACGGGGGAGAAACCATATAAATGTGTGGAGCATGGAAAGAGCTTCAGGAGGAGGAATGACCTAATTGCCCATACACAGATCTGTTTGGGCGAGAATCCATGTAAATTCTAGATTTAGTTGTTTAAATCTATACATTTTCTATTTATGTACAATGAACTGGGAAAATAAGATTTCTTTGAGTCTGACACTCACAGCTGGCAGCCCAAGGGAAATTAATTTACCAATGAAAATAAAAGGGCCGTTTTAAGTATGAACTGGATTTTTGAATGTACTGCTATTTTAGGTGGCCAATGTTATTGCACACCCATAAGAGAAATTTATTTTTTCTTAAGTTTACATTTATCCCAGTGTTAGAAACCTTACAAGGTTCATCTCCCAGCCAGGAATAAGCACACAAGCCGTTGCTTGAAGGATACAGAAGAGTTTATTTTCCGAGAGCCAGATACACAAGAGGATCAGCTGTGGGGCAGCCATGCTCCTGTTTCTCCAGGAGATCCTTTATAGGGGAGATCCTATTGTTCCTTGAGAGGTGTGAAGGAATGCCAGCCCTCGAGGAATTCTTGGAGAAGGTGATTAGCCGAGGAATTCTTGGAGAAGGTGATTAGCCGGGAGTCCCAGGGAGAGGCTCTCCAGTGAAATTGGTTGGATCTTTAGAAGGGAGCTTTGTGAGGCCAGGCACCCTCCTGCTCTGGGGTTTCCTGTGGTTCCCTTACCTGGTATGGTCTAATTGGCATCTAGATCCCTTCAGAGAAGAAATCTTCTTATGATCTGATTAAGGCTTCAAGGCATGTTAGTCCTTCCAGCCAGGTCTTTAGTTCTCTAATTTGGGGCTGGGGTGGAGGATTCCTGATTCTTCCTGCTACATTTTTAATCCTTTTAGGTAAGCCCATTCTTACTATAATTTGATCCTATGGCTTGATTGCTGTTCAGATAAAGAAAGGAAGGGTGAGACAAATGGGAAGCTTTGACTTCCTGCTGACATGGGGGGAGGGGAATTTGATTTCCTTCTCACAATCCCTCCTTTTTTTTTGTACAAAAACAGAATATTTTATCCACAATCAGTTAGGCAATCTTGTAGCTATACATCATCCTGTGATACAAATTCATATGTTTGGTCCTTCTGCATCAAGATTAGGGATACCTACCTTGGGGAAAGGGATGGAGTCCCCCACTGGGGGGAGATGGGTGGGGAGAAATTAAATAAATAAATGTTGATCTTGCTTTGAGAACAGAAGAGTATTCCCTACAACGCCCCAACCAGGAGGGTAAACACTGAGCAACACATCAAACAATTATTCCTATTACCATCAAGCCCATCATCCCCAGAAATGTTGTCTTCAGCCAGGCAAAGTATGGTAACCAGGAGGTAAGCCATGAGAAATCAGAGAAGCCCTGACTGTAGCCAATGTTGTCAACCAAAGTTTTGAAATCCTCTATGC